ATTACTAGAATTGGTCTGATCACTGCTGAGCTGGGTGTGTGCAGACATAGGTTCATTAGCATCTGGAGCAGAGATTCCCAGGATGCAGTGCTTCCCTGCTTTTTCTGGTCCCAGAATTCAGTGTGGTTCTGTTCTCCATTCTGTATGCAAATTGAGATGTCTTCCTGTCCCATCTTTCATGCAGATGAGGCTAGGGGAGTTGTCATTCTGTATGCTAATGGGGATGTCTTAATCTTGCCACCCTTGTCAGGACGGGTCTAGGTGTGTCTCTCAGCGCCCTTCACTGCTCTCTGCAAGTTTTTCCCCCTCTGATGGGTTTTGGTTTAAGCAGAGGCTGCGGGGGGGTGTCTTTCATGAGTCAGGCTGGATAGTGCACTCTGGTTCCCCGAGAACACAGAGGTGTCTGGTATCACCAGCCCCAAGAGCATCACACGCTGCGAGGGGCGTGTCCCGGGGAGCAGAGCCAGCATAGAGGGCTCAGTTCCGGTGCCCTCCCGGTGGCAGAGCAGGGGCACAGCTGGAGGACGGGGGTGTGGCTGGGAGGCCCCTCGCCTGCACCGGTTCCCAGCTGCAGATCCAAACCCTCGGAGCTGAACCAGTTTGATCCCTGGACGGAATCTCCTGTGTGCGGCCAGCCAGGGCCGGGCCCAGCACCTGGGGTCAGTTGCACTAACAGGTCCCATGCACCCAGAGGGGAGTCACCAGGTCCCTAGCGGGACACCCGGGGCTTAGACCCGGAACCCCTCACTGTGCGGCTGGCGCCCCGAGGGATGTTACTGTCATGTGAGCAACAGGGGAGCCATGTGGTTGGCATCGTCTGTGGCCTTCACGCCAGCACCCCCTCCCCCTGCACTCTCAGACCTGGCCCAGCCAGGGCACAGTGGGGGCTGGCTGGAAGCCCGGGGGCTGCACCTAATTCACAGCAACTAGAGATGAAATAGAAATAAAATGCATGAATTAAATGCGCCCTGATTATTAACAGAGAGGAACGGCCCAGGAAGACTCCAATCCCAGCATGCACTCTGCTGCTGCTCGGGACCACATGGCGCAAGGCATGCTGGCACCTGTAGTCTCCATGGGCTGCGTCCCTGTCTCACTGCAGCCTCCATGTCCCCTCGGGCAGGGAGCTCCAGATCCCAGCTCCCTCAAAGGGCTGTGACCTGCTTGGCTGCCGAGCGATGGAGGTACCCACTGGAGCACGGGGGGTGTTTGCCTGGCAGAACAGGAAATCAGGCTTGGATCGGAACCCCCCGGGGCTCAGTTAGGCGATGCTGATGGTAATCCTGTGTCCTCTGTGGTGCCTTCCACCCGCAGAGCTCAGAGGTTGGAGGGTTTGGCCCCTCACCCCGCTGTGTGTGGGGCGCAGGGGCTGTTTGACTGGAAGCCTTTGCAGAGCTCTGTGCGTCCGGAAGGGGCAGGAAAGTAACCCTCATGCTGGTGCTTATTCTCTAGTGAT